CTTTTCAAAACTGTTCTTCCATTGCGGGTATCGTCAAACTTTTCCAAATCACCACCAACCTTGTGAAGTAACTAATCCTTTGTATTGATTGTCTCTCAGTTTACAAGAAAATGCCATCGGGGATGAAGGAACGGCTGCTTTGGCCTCTGCTCTGCGGGTGAACTCAACGCTTGAGGCTCTCTAGTAAGTTTCTTTGCTACTTAGAAGGGCAGCGCGTCGATCCAAAGAGAGGCGGTCAGAAGCGTTCGGTGGATGAGGTCAGCTACTGTTGGCCCAAGACTTCAGTCCAGCCAAACACAGTTGACCCTGTGACTGTTGTGCCTGTCTTGTGTTGAAACTGGACTGCTGTGGAGGAGTTCCTCAAGGTTGTTCCCAACTTAAAACCATTTGTTTAGTGACCCTTTGAAGTTACAATGGCACTGAAAACAGTGACTTATAACCATTTTCCCACTCTTAATGACCCTTGTAGCATCCCTATAGTCACCCGATCAAAGTTTGGATGCTTGGCAATTGGCCTATATTTATGACAGTTGCAGTATCCTGAGGTCGTGGGATGCCCTTTGGTGACCTTCTAACAAGCCAAGTCAATGGGGGAAGCCAGATTCACTTAACAACCATGTTACTAACTTAACAACCGCAGTCATTCACTTAACAACTGTGGCAAGAAAGGATACAGAATGGGGCAAAACTCACTTAACAACTGTCGCGCTTAGCTATAGAAATTTTGGGCTCAATTGTGTCCGTAACTCAAGGTCCACCTGTGTGTTTAATGGCTGATGATTGATCTGCCATTCTGTTATTTTCAACACGGGAAGACTTTAACGAACTACGCTTAGATTCCTTCTCTCAACCTGAGGTCATCAAATCCCAGAGAACCGAACTTGCGGTACTTTTGTGAATGGAAGAACTGAACGGCGTAAATCACGCTAAAATGTGGAATGGGACTTTCATCTTCCGTAGGGAGTTTGTACGTTCAAGGGCCAACCCAGAACAGTTTTGACCTCACCAGCTTCTCCTACATATTTCATCGTGTTAGTATGGAAAGCAGAGAGGACAGAGAGCAGCCAGGTCGACCCATTTTGTGACCAAAGCCAGAATCCCACGGGCATTCACGCTCGGCGTGAAAATTATAATCTTTCCTCTTTTGACCATTCATCCCATTGAGTTCCTGGGCGCTCTGAGGAATGGTGAAGTCCTTGGTGCTCTCTGAACTTGTTTTGCTGCGGATGTTTCGTTACCCAACTAGGTAACATCATCAGTACTAGGAAGGATGGAGTTGGACTCTCTGTTTATATACAATAGCTTGATCCACCATACTTCCACCAACCCACACTTCCTCACACTGAGGATGTTACCCAGTTTGGTGATGAAATGTCTTCAAGCCAACCGCCAAGCCCAGAGAACACCAAGGACCCTTCCTTTTAACCTTGCGCTACAAATGTTCTCTTACACAGCATTCGTACATTGCCAAATGGGAAACTGGCATAGTTGGACCCCTTTTAAAAGTGCTGATTTGTTTGCAGCCTGCAGGTGGCAGCAATCGGGGCGAGTGGGGCCACAGCACTGGCAGAAGCCTTGGTGGTTAACAAGACCCTTGCAGTGTTGGAGTAAGTACACTCATCTCTCCCAGAAGGAGATCTCTCTTCTCGTGGGAAAAAGGCAGGAGCTGGGGAAAGGGGGAAACTATTAATTTAAATTTAAAAAGATTCTATTCTATTCTATTCTATTCTATTCTATTCTACATCCTGTATTCTATTCTATTCTACTCTACTGTACTCTACTCTATTCTCCATTGCATCTATTCTATTCTATTCTGTTCTATTCTACATCCTGTATTCTATTCTATTCTATTTTACTCTACTGTACTCTACTCTATTCTCCATTGCATCTATTCTATTCTCCATTGCATCTATTCTATTCTATTCTATTCTATTCTATTCTATTCTATTCTATTCTATTCTATTCTATTCTATTCTATTCTATTCTATTCTATTCTGTTCTGTTCTACATCCTGTATTCTATTCTATTTTATTCTACTGTACTCTACTCTATTCTCCATTGCATCTATTCTATTCTTCATTGCATCTATTCTATTCTATTCCATTCTATTCTATTCTCCATTCCATCTATTCTCTATTATATTCTATTCTGTTCTATTCTATTCCTATTAAAATTGCTGAGGTTGAGAATCACATGACTAGAGGCTGTGCCAACCTTGCCCAATTCAAGAATTCGGTCTTGGAGCCCTCTCGGAATCTCTGAAACCTACTTTGATTTAAACTGTCCCAATTTCTCATGAGATTCATTCATTCATTCATAATATTTAATAGTGTTTCTTGGATACCACCTGGGAACGTTGGGGAAGGGGGTCATTCCCTGCCTGGATTATGGGAACGGCGTCTTCCTCTCCCTTTCTATCTCAGAGATGGGGGAACTGTAGCCTGTAGCCTCCTCGTCACAACTCTTCCTTATTTCTGATTTCAGCCTTAGAGGAAACTCCATTGGCTTGATGGGAGCCAAGGCTATGGCCCACTCCTTGAAAGTTAACAGCACCCTCCGCAGGTTGAAGTAAGTAGTGCATGTGGGAAAGGCTGCTTGTGAAGAATCCTGACTGTATGCGAGGGGTGTCCAACCTTGGCAATTTCAAGACTTATTGAGTTCAACTTCCAGAACTCCAGAACTTTTAAGACTTATGACCTGTGAACTTCAGCTCCCAGAATTCCCCACCAGCTTGGCTGGCTGGGGAATTCTGGCTGTTGAAGTCCACAAGTCTTCAAGTTGCTGAAATTGGAAGCAATCTCCTCTGTATCTAGAATAATTGGTTTTTCTAGCTCTTGAGGGCAAGTTCCAGCTCCTAACAATTGGGTTATATATATTTTGCTTGGCTCATACTCAAATGGTTTTGCAGTTATTATCCAGACAAAGAAAGAAGCAGGTGGCCTTAGGAGCCTATTCTAACCAATGTTGTACATATCATCAGGCAGTTGTTAGATTTGTAAAGTACAAGGCTTATCAATATTACAAGAATGCCAGTAATCTTTGCTCCTAAATCAGCTGGCTGCCTTGAAATGTCTTAAGCTGAAAGAAACACCTTAAACTCAAGGAAATTGAAAATGAGAAACAGGATTGTTGCCTCAGTGAATGTTTCCAACATGGCTTTAGAGTTGTATACGGCTCTTCTCCAGGCATAAGTCTTGATTGATTCTTAGTATTCCTTTGGTGTTTCTCGGGATCTTTTGTAGAAAATAAAGCCAGAGCGGATATGAGGCCAAAGACTAAAACACAAATACGAATGACAAGAAATTAGTTCGCTTAACATGCTCAGCAAGAACCAAACGACGTTAGAACTTCCTATCGGTGTATATAGTCAGATGTTTCTGTGTCCTTGTTCAGTCTCCAGGAGAACTCCTTGGGCATGGATGGGGCGATCTGCATTGCCACAGCACTGACGGGAAGCCACAACCTCACCTACATCAAGTAAGTACCTTTGATGAACTAGAATAGTCTTTCCCAAGGTGATGCCTACAGGAGAAGTTAGTCTAGAACAGTGGTTCTCAACTTTTTTAATGTCGCGACCCCCAACCGGTCGTAAGTCGAGGACTAAACTGGTCGTAAGTCGAGGACTAAACTGGTCGTAAGTCGAGGACTACCCAACCGGTTGTAAGTCGAGAACTTTCCCTGCCTGGGAGCGCCGCGCATGCGTGGTTCCGCCCCCTGCGCCGGCCGAGGCATAGCTGGCAAGCGGCAGAGACGGAGCAGGCCGACCACCAGCTGGCCCAGCCCAAGGGGGGTAAGGCACCCGCCGGAAAAGGGGAAAAAATGGTGGACAGCCTTGCTTGGCGACCCCCATGAAATGGTCGGTCGACCCCAAATGGGGTCGCGACCCATAGGTTGAGAACTGCTGGTCTAGAAGCTCCAGAAATTCCTACTGCCACAATTATGGTGAAATGAAGACCATATGGAGTTTTTCACTCACCAGCAGGTTAGAAAATGGTCATCATTAAGGTCATATAGGTGTGCCTTAGCTGGCATAGTAGACTATAAGCTTAGATATTTTGGACACATAATGCAAAGGTAAGTGTCAACAGAGAAGACCCCGATGCTTGGGGAAATCAAAGGCACTTGAAAAAGAAGTCAACTGAAAACAAGGCAGCCAACAGCTGCCAATGATGATCCAAGCAGGAGCTCCAAGAAGCCATTAGACTTGCTGAAATAATATATTTGGTCAAGAAGAGTCAAAAGTGATTGAATGACAATCACCATAAGCCAATGGCATAAATGGCTAAAAGTAAGCAAGGGAGTTAGAAGCCACATCTCCTTCCAATTGGATGCAATTGGATAGCTGCTCAGTCTAAATCATCATCATCATCTTCTTCTTCTTCTTCTTCTTCTTCTTCTTCTTCTTCTTCTTCTTCTTCTTCTTCTTCTTCTTCTTCTTCTTCTTCTTCTTCTTCTTCTTCTTCTTCTTCCTTCTTCTTCTTCTTCTTCTTCTTCTTCTTCTTCTTCTTCTTCTTCTTCTTCTTCTTCTTCTTCTTCTTCTTCTTCTTCTTCTTCTTCCTTCTTCCTTCTTCCTTCTTCCTTCATTCTAATTCTAATTCTAATTCTTCTAATTCTTCTTCTTTGTTTCTCCCACAGTTTACTGGGAAATAAAATTGGTGAATCAGGAGCGAAGGTGATTTCCGACGCCATCCGAGCAAACACCCCCAGCTGTGTGGTGGAGATATAAAGCACAGTTTGGGACTATGTTGGAAGAAGAGTGTGACGTTTCACTCTCCCCTGGATGGATGCCTTCCCTGTGCCCGGCCCATTGACTGAGGACATGGTAAAAGGATGGGTGTCCTGAAGGCCCAGGACAGACCTGAAGGGGAGATGCAGCCATGAAACTGGGATCAAAGAGAAGCCCAACTCACTCTCCACCAATCATGAACATTCTTGATTTTTGCTCCTGCGAGGAGGGTGCTCAGATGAAGCAGCGTTACAAAACTGATTTGAAAGATTTGATTTTGGAATAACGTTTCTTGAATTTCTTAACTGGGGACAAAGATACAAGAGCAAAGGAAAGGGAGAGGAGGCGAGGAGCAATTTACTTGCAAAATGCAGGAATGTTACGGTCAAAATCAAAAGGAAAACAAAAGTGTTATTTATTGGCCTATAGCTGAGAACCGAGCTGATCGGTACAGAACAATACGTGTCGGCTTGAGCAAAATGGTCTATCAAAGACTTCAATGAATCTGAAAAGAGATGCTTCTACAGAAGGACCAGGGATTGCATTAAGAGTTGTATATATGATTAATTTGGTGAAAATAAGCTCTATTTTTCCTAGAGCTATTTTTTCCTCAGGTGAGAGTTTCTCCTCAATAGGCCAACTTGGAATTGGCTGTACCAATAGCTTCAAGGACAAATGGGAGGCCATCAGCCTCTCCTTGTGGGGGATTTTCTCCACTTTGCTCAAGTGACAATTTTGTCTTGATCTTTGACAAAAAAAAAAAGTTATTTTTCATCTGTTACAGAGAGTTGGCTTCTTCAACTGCAATCTGTAAAGTAGACCCAAACTCAGGCTGTTAATTCACCCTAAACTTCTCTTTGAAATAGCTGAGAATCATATCTTAGCACTGACCAAGGTTTCTTTTCCCAGACTGCTAACTTGAAGATGATGGGGTTCTTTGACCATCAGCATGATAGGACTGCCAGGGCTTCTGGTGTTAAGTGTAATTTTTGTGTCCTCAATTTTTAAAGCTTGTAAAATTCATGAAGCAATAATAGCTTTGAGGCCTAAAATACATCTATCATGACTCTCTTGGACAGCTTATACTGTCTCAATATGGCCTCGTCATAGCATAGCCATGGGCAAGTTGGCATTTGGTGTCCCTGTTGAGGTTCCTCAGAAATCATTATCGCTCTCCTCTAATGGTTCCGGCTTCCTGACCCTCCGGTTGGCCTTGGTGGGGGAGATGTCCATGCTGTCATCTTCCAAATCATCATCTTCGTCGTCATCGTCATCATCCAGATCAATTTCACTTTCCTCTGAGTCCTCCTGTGGGAAAAAGCAGATAAATATCGTTATCCGATATTTAAAAAAAAGAATACACCCTGGTCTTGAAGAATTAATATAGATAATATTTATCCGTAAGACTGAATGAATACAGTTGCTATCCAGTTAAATAATCTATAGTCTCTTTAGTTTATTGTGAATAAAAGCTGTAATTTTAAGGAACAAAGCCTTTTGTGTACATGTGTGTGTGAGAGAGATGGGGGGAGCCTGGAAGAGAATCCTCTCCCCCTTTATAGCAACCTATCCTCTGAAATTTTTTGCTTGAAGATACAGGGAAACACAACGACAAGAGGAAGTTTTGAGGGGGAAAAACAGATTTATACTATCAAACTTGCCTTTCCATTTTTCTTTAAAACAGAAACAGGAAAATTACGCTGCCTGGTTCCCACATCACCTAGTGGGTTTACCAAAACACAATTTAAACCTTAACATGTTGTGACAGCCCCAGAAAATTGTGGCTAAACACAGTTTGGCAAAACCAGTCCTGAGAAAGCTCTGTTTCTTAGTTCTGGAGTGACTTCCATCCGTAACATCCGGGTGTCTCAACCTTGGCGACCTGAAGATGGGTGGACTTCAACTCTCAGAATTCCCCAGCCAGCCATGGTGGCTGGGGAATTCTGAGAGTTGAAGTCCACCCATCTTCAGGTCGCCAAGGTTGAGAGGCACTGCATTAGATCCAACCCCACCTCCCTTGCTGGTAGTCTCCAGACACAACCTGAGGTTGGGGAGAAACTGCTGTGGATGGTCCCCATCTCTGGTAGATGAAACACCAGCTCTTGCTTCTTACCTTCCCTTACCCCCGTCCTCCCAACCGCCCATGGCTTCTGATGGCGAGCAGGACCCAAGAAGCAGAGAAGAGAGGCAAGGGACATGTGGGCAAGGGATGGGGAGCCAGGATTGGCAGACAGGAGAGTCACGCACCTTTGCTTTGGCTCGGGAAGCTTTGCGCTTTTTGGTTCGGGCTCGGGCTGCCCCGATCTTTGGAAGAGGGAGCAGCAGCATGCGAGGCCACACACAAGATGGAGGTAGGAAGGAATCAGAGGAATGACAGCAGAGAGGGTTAAAAAAAGCGTGAGTGGAAAAAGGCAAAGAGAAAGAGAGAATTCAAATCCAAACCAGGCTGGAGAAGACCGCTCAGCGGCATGAGTGTGGGCCAAGCCTCTGCTTAAAGGCAGACACTTTAGGGTTAGTTTTACACGTTCGTAGAGCAGAGGCTGTGTTACTACCATGGGGCTCTTGTGTTGTCTGCTATTGGCAGGCAATTGCTGTTGTTATAGCCCGGTCCAGCAAGCCATTTTCAGACCCAGTTGACCCTCAAATCTGGCCCAAAGCCAACAGACTTATTTTGGGAGGTGGCAAGCCCCGCAAATAAAGCAAAGAAAAAAAAACAACTTTCAAATTAAAGCTATTATTACAAATAGTTCTCGACTTAACGGCCCACATTTAGGACCCCCATTTGCTAAGCAAGGTGACGGTTAAATGAAGCGTGGTCAATTTTACGGATTATTTTTTTGGGTGGGTGATGTTTGTGAAATGAATCACAGCGGTTTTTAAGTGAATCGTGCGGTCGTTAAGCAGATCTGCCTCCCCCCCCCAACTGGCTGCTTCTCAGAAGCCAGCGGAAGGCGGCAAGTGGTGATCCCGTGACTTTGGGATGTTGCAACCGTCACAAATACAGGTTGGTTGAATTCGGAATCACGTGACCCCGGAGAGGCTGCAATGTTGGTCAGTGGGAGGACTGGACGTAAGTCATTTTTTTTTTCAGGCCTGCTGTAACTTTGAACGTGAAGGGTTGTAAGTCAAGGACTTTCCGTATTGTAGAGCAGCAAATTATTATAAGTGGCGTGTTGCCATTTCTGTTCACGTCCGAATCAAAAGGGCGTCTTATACGAAGGCCGTGTAAAAATGTAGCCGACTCCTGCGTGTTCAAAGCAAAATACTTAAGCGTGCCTAAATCCCACTGGAAGCGATTGGACGAAGAAGGGAATTGCAAAATCAAGTATTTAAATAAGATTCAGGCCCAAGCTATCGGTTCTGAGGAATAGGTAGAAGATATTATACTGCAGTTTTGTTCTCAGTGTTCATGACCACTTTGAATCAAAGTGAATTCTATAAATCATCCACATCTTATTCGCAATCCCAGATGTTTTTAGTATGCAGAGCACATGTATACATTTGAATATACAGGTAATCCTCGACTTATGACCACAACTGAACCCAACATTTCTGTTGTTAAGTGAGACATTTGTAGGGTTATTTATAGGGTGTAGGGTTTCTTGCCTGAGCAGGGGGTTGGAGCAGATGACCTCCAAGGTCCCTTCCAACTACTACTACTACTACTACTACTACTACTACTACTACTACTACTACTACTACTACTACTACTTCTTCTTCTTCTTCTTCTTCTTCTTCTTCTTCTTCTTCTTCTTCTTCTTCTTCTTCTTCTTCTTCTTCTTCTTCTTCTTCTTCTTCTTCTTCTTCTTCTTCTTCTTCTTCTTCTTCTTCTTCTTCTTCTTCTTCT